GTGTCCGACCTACCCATGTCAAGCGTATCTGGGTGCTCGACCTACCCTGTCAGGCATATCTCGGGTGCCCGACCTACCCTCCGGTTTATTTCAACCGGCTACGGGGTCTATCTCACCCCCTACTACTACTACCACATAATAACATATCATAACATACTGTCAGTCATATCTGGGGTGCCCGACCTACCCTCCGGTTTATCTCAACCAGCTACGGGGTCTATTCCACCCCTCCTACCACTACCACATAACACATATCATACAAGCACATAAATCTCTACAGATAGTGGCATACCAGACAATTATCACAAAGACAATCATCTCTATTATAAACAACTATTAATGGGCCGGCCTTGGTGCCTCACTACAAATAAAATTACATTTAATGGCACAAACTATTAGTGGCATATATTTTTTTGTGCCACTTTATTATGGTTTTTAGTGGCACAATTTACTTTTGTGCCACTAGCTATATCACATCTTTTCGTTTAACCGCGCTTGATTCCTAACAATTAAAAAGCTTTCCGCATCACTTTCGTTTTCAACTTTATTTTACCTTTATCTCCAAAATTTAGACCTAATTTTCCCCATCCCAACATTGCCACCATCATTTCGGGGTTGTTTGGCTTAGCTTTTCACAGCCCAAAAGTCATTTTGGGAAAAGTTACAAAAAGTCAGGATTTTCCGACTTTTCCAAAAAATTCATTTTCCTTGTATAAAAACTCCAAAAGTAGATTTTAAAACTAGTTTTGCCAAACGTCTTTTATTTTTTTTTTCTTTTTAAAAAAAAAACTTTTGGGCTCTGAAAAGCTAAGTCAAACTCTCCCTTCCCCCAAATCCCAAATCGACCTAAGTTGCAGCTCTTTTTTTTTTCTTTTTTCTAGTGCTCCTTCAATGTGCATACTGCTTATACTCTTCGTATACTCATCTTGTATAGACAATCATAGAAACTCATGTTCAGAAGAGAATGTAAAGAGTTTCCTCCAAATTTCATGATATGGTATTAGGGATATTCTATTTCCAAGTTTTGTTATCAAAATTTCATCTTCGTGTTCTTATATGTGCGACAATGGCGACGCTCGTAAGTGAATACAATAAAGCTCAAATAAAATCTTTTAATCGAAGGTACCCATGATGTCTTTGTGAATCAATATTTGAACGGTTTTGAAGAAACCCAAATGTACACACATTCAAATTTTGGCCCTAACCCTAGGCCTTATGATTGCTTACATTCTCGACTTCTCAATTTAAAGTCTGATTCCAAATTACAATTTCAATTCGCATAACAAAGGAGGTAACATAAGTTTAAAGGCAGAAAACAAGGAAATTAGATGGCGATAAGGGGATGCGGAAACGAGGAGTTAACCGAGTTGCACCTATTGCCGATTATTATGCCTTTCAAGATAGAAGTTAGATGCACAATCTTTCGTCCAAATCAAACAGGTAATTAAATTCACCATGTGTATCTCTTATATTCTCACAGAATTTGTGTTTTCTCGTTTAATGGTTTGTGAGTTTTTGTACCGATCAAAAATTTTCCTCTGCACTATTTATCAGATAATATATGAAGTGAAGTCTTTGACAAATGATGAAGGAGATTGTTATTCTATTATTTTAGAGTTGGTATCAAGATTAACCAAGGATATAGTTGACAAATACTACATATGCAACCCACTGTTCAATTATTCAGAAAACTAAACCCAAAACGGTTCCTGAAAAGCCCATTTGCTGGAGCACTTAATGATAGCTATGATAATGCAAACTGGGACCTTCTTACTGTGAACTTTTTCTTGGTTAAATTAGACACTCATAGAAGGTTAATACTTCCATCTTCTTACTAACTGTATTTTTAGTTTGGTTATCAAAAATATCATTATTTAGGTGTTATCTCTTTATTGATATGTCAAGTTGTTAAATACCTTATCAACCTTATAAATATGAACTTGAGCACATGTTACTGCGACATGTTTACCCTGAGTTTAGTAGTCAGTGGGCCATATTACAACAAAGGTAAATCTTCTTATCTCATTTTTATTCTTTTTATAGATATAAACATTATTTTAAAAGATTATTTTTAGGCTGCATGGGTTGCGGGAAAATATGCTCATTTTTATTTTTTTGAACAAAATATCTTTTGCAAAGCACTGTTGTTTCTGGGATGAGTGGCCTAGAGCTTCCAGTGCATGTTGACTCAATTGTTTCATTGTGTTTGTTTGTTAAAGCATGTGAAGGTAAACCAACCATTAAATATATCCCCTTCTAGTTGTAGTTTCTCTCATTTGAACCATAATCTACTCTGATTTTGCAGATCTTACTGGAATGAAACCACTACTTCCATAGCTACTCTATTTCAACCACTACTTCCATAGCTACTCGATGTATTAACTCAAATTCAAATTTTCGTTTTTTTCTCTTACACGTGGTTTATTTTCAGAGCTTTTAAAGGTTGTCGTTATATGATAGGCGATTGATCGTAAGTTGGATATATAAGAGGAGCAATTATACAAAGTTTGAGGTCAATCAAGTTTCATGTTTCTTCCCAATTAGTATTTGGTTTGAAAGCATTATGTATTGAGTACTTGCACAACATTTAGAATTATTAATTTTTTAGATGTTTGTGTTTTAAATATATTGACAATATTGTTTTAGACGAGCTTGAATTGATGGAATGATATTATGTTTCAATTTGTTATCATAATTGTCTTATTATTATATTATATTCCATTTAAATTTAAAAAAACTTAACCAAATTTGTTAACTGTTAAAAGAAGTGTCACTAAAATCATGAACATAATATTTATTGTAGCAGTTAAATAGTGTCACAGAAATAGTGTCACTAGAAGCTACAAGTGCATTAGTGGCATAATCGAAAAGTGCCACCAAAACCGAATAAGGCTGTAGCGACACAACTAAAAAGTGCCACTAAAGGCCTTTAGTGGCACTTTTTTTGTGCCGCTGTTTCCCCAAGGGGCTTTTAGTGACACTTTTTCGGTTATTAGTGGCACTTTTTCTATGCCACTAAATGTCACTTTATTTGTAGTGCCTTAGACTCATTGCTACCGGGAAAGTAACTCACCTTGCACTGCTGAAGTTCCCTACAAGAAATCCTTAGTTGCTGCCCTGGCAACTCCTCGAACTATCAATACCAAAATAGCTAAGGCCCAAGACCAAAGAGGCCCAAAACTGTAAAAATCCCTAAAAGCCCGTCGATGGCCCAATTTGGAAAATTGGGCCTAAACTCTTACAAGAAACTATCCTTTAGAACCCATTCCGTACTTCATAACCCTACAAGGGTCAACCTTGGTCAAAGTCCTGATTTTAGGGTTTCCCAAACCCAGTCCAACTCGTCGAGTTGGTCCCCTCCAACTTGTCGAGTTGGTCTTCCCAAAAGCACGCGGCCTTGCTTTCCAACACGTCGAGTTTTTTCCCATGGACTCGACGAGTTGGCTTTCTAATTGAGTATTGTTCTTTCCTTAATTGGCCTTCTAGATTCTGGTGTTACAGTGACCTTGTGACAAATTTATAAATAAAGATTAAATTACAATAATCATCGATGGAGCTGTTTATATAGATACGAAAAAAAAATCATAATATTGTCTTATATTCTTTATGCCAAAAGTTATAAAACATTATTTAATATAATATCATTCATTTCTTAAAAAAAATATTTATTGTCAGCTTTCAATTGATTTAATTGAAAAAAGAAAAAAGTAAAATGAAAATTTTGAAAGGTTTAATTTAAAATCAAAGTTTATTTCTATCTATTTTATGTGTTAAATTTTTTTATCCTTAATTGCAATGTTTAGGTATAACTTTAGTTTGTTGTTTTTGTCAAATATATACGTTAATTCATACCATTTCATTTTCGTTTTTTATACAATAATACATAAAAGTTGATCTACATTTGTTAATTAGCTATAATAAAGTCATAAAATTATTGAAAAACTTTTTTAAGTTTTAAAAAAAAATCAGTTTAGTTAAATTTTAGCAGCCCACGTTGTTAAAAAACAAACAATCTTTTTCTTTCAGACTGCAGACGTTTGGTCCACCTCTTCTACTGCAGAGGTATGAAGATGTGGTCCGCAGACTGCATACATTTTACCTCAGAAAAAACAAACAACACCTTAGAGTGAGCACCGAGACTCTCTCTTTCTCCCTTTGAGGTTAAAAAAGAAATACATGTTTCATAAATGATGCTTTTAGTTTTTGATTAATGTGATTGTTTTTAGTTCCAACGCCATTTTTTGATATATGAGCCCAATGTGTTGATGTGTTGGCAGTTTTTTACATGGTCATATTATTTTATTTTAATTCTTTTTAGTTTAAATGTTTAGCTTTAGATTGACATAAAAAAATATAGATTGCAGTTTATCATTTTTTTAAGATAGGTTGTGTAAATCAAATGGTGTCATAACTATGCATTAGGAGACCAAATTTGTCGACTGTCGTGATTATAAGTATTTAGATATAATTATTAAACTATTAGTTATAAAATCCTTATATCCTTTATAATATTTAAATAAATTAGTTATTTTATTGTAGAAAATCTATTTTGCTCCATTTGAACAATTTTCTTGATGCATTGATGTTTGCATACCCTGTTATTTTCAGATATATATCTTGTTTAAAGGTGATATGTTGGCTTGTTTGCATCGACACTAAAACAAAATTAACCTTTTTCTTTTGCACCTAAAATTAAAGTTAATAACCAACACATTATTAGAATGTCCTATTATTGCGAATTCATATAAGTCCGCTATTGTAAATTTCTGGCTCCGCCCCTGGCATTAACTATTAAGGACCGTCCTAGATGACTGCAATCACACGACCGAAACTGTAATTGAATAAAAAAACAAAAAAGAGCTTGTCAAAGTCATTCTTCTAGGTGCTATTCTAGGACACTGAATTGAGATTTTCATCAAAACAGGGCTAATGTCACGATTATATTATAGGACAATGAATGAGGCATGTATTTTTTTCATCAAAACATAAGAGTGGGGCCAATGCCAATGGTGACACTTCACATGGGCAATTACCGAACCATCCCATATACAAAATTAAAAAGGGTCACTCTCTTCTTCTGTTCTTCATCTGCTCAAGTGTCCAACAAACTCCCCAGTTTCATAGAGATGATCGGAGAAAGGAAGGTGGTCTGTGTTACAGGTGCATCGGGATTCATAGCTTCATGGCTCGTCAAGCTCTTGCTTCAACGTGGCTACACTGTTCATGCTACTGTCCGATCCCTCGGTTACCCTCTCCTTCTCTCTAATTTTGACTTTTAGTCTGCTATCATTTCAAAACATTCGGAACCTACATTTCTTACCTTTTTAGGGATCAAATTCGTCGATTATGCTATTTTCTACGTTCGAATCCAATCCAAGTACTAGCTATATTGAATAATTAACCAGGATCAGATTGTTAATTTGAAGTCTACATAATAAGTTATATAATCAATCCGACTTTGCATCAAAACTCAATTGGTTACCTTTATCATCCTTCAAATTTCATTATGATTGATTTGTTTTGGTTCCATTGAAATACGGTGCAGGTGATCCAAAAAAGACACAACACCTACTTGCTTTTGATGGAGCTCAGGAAAGGCTTTCTCTGTTTGAAGCTAACTTGGCTGAAGAAGGATCTTTTGAGTCTGCTGTTAATGGTTGCCAATGTGTATTCCATACAGCGTCTCCTGTTATCTTTTCAGTTTCTGACCTGTTGAGTGTGAAGCCATTGGGTTAGTCAAAAGAAGTGGCAGGAAACAAGGACTCTCATGTGAACATGGAAAAATTGTTACGGCTGCAGAATTTCAACAATGGTGGCCTTATCAATTTCACATGTATGTGAATGGAAGAAAAGGCTTACGACTCAAAATATTATAAATAGGCTTCTTCCTTTTATTTGTAAAACTTGTATCTAGTGTAACACAGAAAGAGTGCAGATTAGCACCAAGAAATGTAAATTCCTAGTTACCGGTGGACGTAGGTCAGAGAAGGACCGAACCACGTTAAATCCCTCATGTTCATCCTTGTGTTCTTGTTTTTCGTGAGCGCTGTGTGTGTTTAGAGTCGTGTGTTAAGTGTCTCGATCCTAACAAGTGGTATCAGAGCAAGGTTGTAGCTCCAGAAGGTGATTTTAAGTTTTTGGTCGAAATTTTTTTTCGTCAAAAACGATTTTGGTGTATACCGTTGGAAAGGTCTCGTTCCGAAGATTCCGAAAATATTTTTTTCTGAATTTTTTGACCACCGGAAGACGTCCAAATCGCCGGTCAAAGGTTTGCCGGAATATTGACCGGGAAAACCAGTTCGCCGGAGAAGACGACACTGTAGCACCAGACACTGTAGCAGTCCGCCGGAGAAGACGACACTGTAGCAGGACTGTAGCACGACGTCAGCAGTGATGTCAGCAGACACTGTAGCAGACATTGTAGCAACACTGTAGCGGATTTGAAAAATTGCAGTTTAGCCCCTGAACTTTCAGAAAATTGCAGTTTAGCCCCTGAGCTTTCAGAAAATTGCAGTTTAGCCCCTAATCTTTCAGAAAATGGCAGAAAGCAGTAAGCTTCAGATTGAGAAGTTTGATGGGAAAGATTTTGGTTGGTGGAAGATGCAAATTGAAGATTTGCTCGTACAGAAAGACTTGGACGCAGTTTTAGGTGAAAAACCAGAGGCGATGACACAGGCAAACTGGGAGACTTTGGATAAGAAGGCCAAGGCATTTATTAGACTGACGTTGTCAAAGGATGTTGCCTTCAACATTTTGAAGGAGACCTCGGCAAAGGGAATCATGAAGGCATTGTCTAATATGTACGAGAAGCCGTCGGCAGCAAATAAAGTCTTCCTGATTCGGGAACTAGTCAACACGAGGATGAGGGAAGGAAGTTCAGTTACAGTACACATCAACAATTTGAACTCGATTTTATCCAGACTTGGGTCAGTGGGAATAAAATTTGAGGACGAAGTTCAAGCTTTACTACTGTTATCATCATTACCTGACAGTTGGTCCGGAACAGTTACAGCCGTTACTAGTTCCGCAGGATCGAAAGAGCTCACTTTTGAGGGAATTCGGGATTTAATTCTAGGCGAAGACGTCAGACGAAGAAATTCCGCGGAATCATCAAGTGAACAATTGAATGCGGTCAGAGGTAGAAGAAATAACAGAGGTAGTGGGAGCGGGAACAGGAGAAGGAGTCAGTCGAGGACTCGAAATGATGTGACTTGTTGGAACTGTAAAGAGGTTGGACATTTCAGGAATCAATGTCCAAAAGACAAGAAAGAAGTTAACGTTGCAGTAGACCATTCAGATGATGATGTTTTGATCTGTAGTGTGGAGAGCAATGTGGATTCCTAGGTTATGGATTCGGGTGCTTCATTTCACGCTACCCACAGCCGTGAAGCACTGCAGAATCTAAAAGAAGGAGATTTTGGTAAGGTAAGACTGGCGAACGATGAGGTTCTTGATGTGACGAGCATAGGTGACTTAGATCTGAAGACTCCAGTTGGTCCATGGACTTTGAAGGATGTCCGGGTAATTCCAAGTCTGAAGAAACAGTTGATTTATGTTGGGCAGTTGGATGAACAGGGACACGAGGTTAAGTTCAGGAATGGGCAGTGGAAGGTTGTCAAAGTAAATCTTGTAATAGCTCGTGGACATAAGAGGGGTTCATTATATATGGTCAGATTACCATCTGAGGGAGTAACCGTCCCAGTTCAGAAGAAAAACAAAATCCGGTTCATAGAGTCTCGTGGACAGAAGAAGGTTTGCTTTGCAGATGGCAAACCCAGAGTCACAGGTCAGATTCAGGTTGAACGTGTTTGGAACAGTTCAGAAAAACCAGTCAAGGGCATTCATAGCAGTGGGAGCAAGGGCTGTGCTTCAGCTAGAATACCCAGAACACAGTGGGTTAAGAGAACCAGTATTCCATCTGTAAAAGTCTCTCCAGATTATCTGCTTCACATGGAGAGTGTCGTTTGTTCTCAGGATGTTCCAGGATCGGGCAGTTCATTTCAGTGGGAGCCGATGGAGACAGAGAACAGTTCAGTGGCAGACTTAGCCATGACTAATGTGTTGGAGCTAACGGAAGCTTCAACTAGCCTTCAGGTAAATTGAAGAGAAGGCCAGGGTAACTAGGAAGGAGTCAAGATCAAAAGTTTTTACAGAAATACAGATACACAGTTGAAGCAATGGTGAAGATTGTTTCGTGGCTTCAAGTGGGAGATTGTTGAGTGTGAAGCCATTGGGTTAGTCAAAAGAAGTGGCAGGAAACAAGGACTCTCATGTGAACATGGAAAAATTGTTACGGCTGCAGAATTTCAACAATGGTGGCCTTATCAATTTCACATGTATGTGAATGGAAGAAAAGGCTTACGACTCAAAATATTATAAATAGGCTTCTTCCTTTTATTTGTAAAACTTGTATCTAGTGTAACACAGAAAGAGTGCAGATTAGCACCAAGAAATGTAAATTCCTAGTTACCGGTGGACGTAGGTCAGAGAAGGACCGAACCACGTTAAATCTCTCATGTTCATCCTTGTGTTCTTGTTTTTCGTGAGCGCTGTGTGTGTTTAGAGTCGTGTGTTAAGTGTCTCGATCCTAACATGACCCACATGTCGTTTTACTTTCTTTTTCTCTCAATTGTCCATTCCTACACATTAACTTTCCCATATGTTATCAACACAAATATCAATATGATATGTAAACAGACAATTGCTGATTTATTTTGTTATCAATTTCCGTTAGGCACAATTGCTAGAGCCTGCAGTGAAAGGGGCACTTAATGTTCTTAAATCAGTTGCAAAAGTTCCATCTCTCAAAAGAGTGGTCTTGACATCTTCCATAGCTGCAGTTATATTTGGTGTAAAACCTCCTGAGTTTGGTGCTGTGGTGGATGAAACCTGGTTTTCAGATCCGGAAACATGTGAAAAACAAGAGGTATAATTGTTTAATAACTTTAACATATAGGTCTCATTTCTTAATTAATCATTTTTTTTTATATTTTACAGTTATGGTATGTCCTTTCGAAGACCCTGGCTGAGAATGCTGCAGCAGAATTTTGTAAAAAGAATGGTCTCGAGTTGGTGGTTATAAATCCGGGGTTTGTAATCGGCCCTATTTTACAACCAACTCTCAACTTCACTTCTGAGGGTTTTATTAGTTTAATTGAAACAGGTAATTGTCTCCTAATACTAATATTCATATGCATGATTGATAGATTCATATTTTAAGTTCTATTTTGTAAATAAAGTTATTAAACTTATTGCATACTCAAATCTTTATTATATTTGTTAAGGTGTTGAATGATGTATTATGTATATGCAGGAAAGGAAGTATTTCCAGATGGAATTTATAGACTTGTTGATGTGAGAGATGTTGCTAATGCTCATATTTTAGCATTTGAGAACCCCGAAGCAAATGGAAGATACATTATGGTTGCAGATGTAACTCACTCTACAGATCATGAAGATCGTAAACCAAAACTATCCTGCTCTTGAATATTTTGAAATGTGAGTATTTATAACCTATTTGTTGAAAGCGTCTATATTTTCCCATGAGAAAAGGGCCAAACACATGGGCCGTACTATAAATGATAATACAAATACATACAAATAATGCAGTATGCTAACATCCCCCCCCCCCCCCCGGCGCAGATTGAACGGGGGAAGATTCATGGACATTCAAGTTGGACCGAAAATCAAGGAATAGAGAAGACGGCAGACTCTTTGTAAAAATATATGCATACCGAGACAAAGAAAGCAAATGAAGAACACAAACATGACCGGTGCAACTTTATATCGAACAAAGTGAAGATCAATCTCTATATGTTTAGTGCGTTGATGATGAACCGGATTAGAGGACCTGAAAACATTATCGCAATAGACAATATTAGTGAAGATCGCCAAGATCAATCATAGAGAACTCTGAGCTTAACAAAGAGATAATGTGAGTCGGTAACTCAGGGGAAGTACCGGTGAGAACAATATCATCCACATATAATAATAAGTATGTCATACAATAGCCCTGTCTGTAGATGAACAATGATGTGTCACAACTGCTATGAACGAACCCAATGCGAGAAATGAACATGGAAAACCTCCGAAACCATGCCCTAGGAGCCTGCTTGAGACCATAAAAATATTTCTGAAGAAGACACACAAAATCTGGTCAAGTAGGATCCCTAAAGTCCGGTGGTATTGGATGTATACGGTTTTCTGTAAGTGCCCATGAAGAAAATCATTCTTCCCATCAAGTTGTCTAATAGGCCACTTATAATTGACAGCAATGGTAAGAACTGTGTGTATGGTGGCAAGCTTAACAACGGGGTTAAAAGTCTCATCACAATCAATATCGGGTCGCTGGTTGCACCCATTTGCAACAAGGCGATCTTTGTATCGAGATAATGAGACATCTACATTAAATTTCTTTTTAAACAGCCAAATACATTTAATAACATTAGCAGCAGGTGGTCTCGGAACAAGTCCTCAAGTTTTGTTAGAGATAAGAGCAGTATATTCTTCAGTCATTGCATTAAGCCAATTAGGATCTTTAAAAGCCTGTAAGTAGTTTTTAGAGACAGAAGAAGAGGAGTCAACATGAAGATTGGGTTTGCGAATAGGTTTAAAAATTCCTTGTTTGGAACGAGTAACCATTGAATGTTGAGACTGAGTGACATTGGAGGGGAGAGTTGATGACTGAGGTGAGGAAGTAGAGACAGGAGAATTCAACGGCATAGATGAATTATTATTGTTGGATGGTCGATGGATCAATGGAGGTGAAGATAGCAGAGATGAGACTAGAGGAGGGGAGTTAGAGGTAGTGGAAGTGTCCACAGAAGGAGAGGTAGAGGTAGGATTCGAGGAGAGCTCGTGAGGAGCATCGTCCATGAATATGGTATTAGAGCTAGAGTAGAAGAAAAAGGATGAGATATGTCATAGTTGTCAAGGAAGGAGTAAGATGGAGCTTTATTTGGTGTCATGGATCCAAAAGGGAACACAGTTCCATCAAACACTACATGCGGGATATGATACTTTGATTAGTGTCAAGATTAAGGCAACGGTAGCCTTTATGGTTAGTAAGGTAACTGACATAGATGCATAGGGTGGATCTCGGGGAGAGTTTGTGAGGGGCATTGATGTGAGGAAAACATAGACATCCAAAGACACGCAGGTGGTCATAAGTGAGATTTTTGTTGTAAAGTTTAGGAAAAGGGGTGTCGTTGGCAAGAGTGGTGGATGGAAGGATACTGATAAGATTGGCTGCCATGTGGAGAGCTTTCATCCGGTATGTGGGAGGAAGTCTGGCATGAAACAAGAGGGTACGAATGGCATTGTTTAATGTGCATAACATACGTTCAAATTTACCATTCTGTTGAGAAGTATAAGGGCATGAAAAACGCATTTAAATGTTATTTTGAGCAAAAAGACGATGAAATTTGTTATTGTCATACTCACCTCCATTGTCACATTGAAAAGATTTGATATCAGCTTCAAATTGTTTATTGAAAAACGACCAAAATGCACAAACTTGTCAAAGACATCAGATTTGGAATGAACGGGGTATACCCACACAAAATGAGAAAAATCATCCAAAAATATGACATAGTATTTAATTCCACTCAAACTAGCAACGGGGGATGTCCATACATCATAATGGATTAATTCAAAAGGAAAATGAGAGACAGAAGAGGATGAACTAAAAGGCAATTTAACATGTTTGCCCATTCGACATGCATGACATAAAATGGAGTCTTTACTAGAGGAACAAGAAATAAAACGACTATTAACTAGATGCTTGAAAATATGATGACCTGGGTGAACAAGACGTTGATGCCATATTGCAGGAGTGGTGGAGATGAACGCTTGAGTAGTTGGTGAAGTAACAGGGTAAAGAACGCCACAACTATCACAACGAATCAGAATTTGTTTGGTGCGGAAATCCTTCACAGAAAATCCAAACGAGTCAATTTCAATGGAACAATTATTTTCACGAACAAAACGATGAAGATAAATTAGATTTTTAATGATGGAAGGAGTAATTAAAACATTTTTAAGATGCAACGTACGATAATGATTAGGAAGCGGAAGAGCAGTATGACCCATAGTAGTACAGGAATAGTAGATCCGTCACCAACTAACACAAATGAAGAAAAATTAATATTTTTATCAGAAGGAGACTTGAGAATACCTGCATCCGAGTGAAGATGGGAGGTGGCACCTGTGTCCATGAACCATTCTGCTTGACCCAAATCATTTAACGTCATGGTGTTGAATAGGCATGAGCAAACGGACCGAACCGGCCGGAACCGGCCCGACCCGGACCCGAACCGGGAACCGGCTTCGGCCAAAATCAAGAACCGAACCGGCCCGGCGGTTCTACCGGTTCCGGTTCCGGGTCCGGTTTTTGCCGGTTTTCGGTTTTGGAACCGGTATGATTTGACACGCTTCCTTGCGGGGCTTGTAACTCATTCAAATTTTAACCAAATCAAACGTTTTTATAGTCTAAATTTAACTACAAAACCTAAACTACATGTAGGAAAAAGTTTCAGGTCAAAAAAACTTAAATTGAGTGAGTTATGCACATTTGAACAACAAAGTCAGATTACGTTTAATTGCTGTAACATAAAAAAATTCTGATTTTACACGCTTTCTTGCGGGGCTTGTAACTCATTCAATTTCTAACCAAATCAAACGTTTTTATAGTCTAAACTTAACTACAAATCCTAATTACATGTAGGAAAAAGATTCAGGTCAAAACAAGTTAAATTTAGTGAGTTATGCACATTTGAACAACAAAGTCAGATTACATTTAATTGCTGAAACATAAAAAAAAATTCTGATTTGACATCCTTCTTTACGGGTCTAAACTTAACTACAAATCATAATCTACATGTAGGAAAAAGATTCAGGTCAAAAAAAGTTAAATTGAGTGAGTTATGCACTTTCAAAATTTGAGTGAGTTATCCGGTCCGGTTCCCGGTTTTGGGCCGGTTCCAACGACCGGTTCTTACCGGGTCCCGGTTCCAAAAATTAACGAAATTATAGTACCGGTCCCGGCCCGACCGGTTCCATCGTGTTCCAGTTCCGGGACCGGTTCCGGCCGGTTCCCCGGTCCATATGCTCATCCCTAGTGTTGAAGGTGACTTTGCTGTTGGACCTGAAAAACTTGTTGCTGAATTGGGCTGCTGTGAAGGTGTAAAAAACTGATGTCGCTGATGGGCTACTTGCTGGAGGATTGGTTGCTGTCTCGGCCCAACAGTTTGAGGATTTGTCATAGATGAAGGTCCATTAGGGCTTGGCAGCAGGCCTTTTTGAAAGTATCCATTAGTTGAAGGCTGATGGACTTGAAACCATCCATACACCCAAGTTCCTCCTCCTGGACGCTGTTAACCTCCACCAGAATGAAGAGCGTCATCAGTATTGCTGAAGCAGCCACCGTAGCGACCACCTCCCTGGCCACCACTACGACCTCCTCGATAACCCCCTCGATTTCCTCCGTGATTATTGCTGCTGATTTGAGATTGAACTGCAAGGGCATTGGGTGATGATGAGTGGTCTGTGTGTGTAACCGAGGCATTACGTTGCTCATCCTGCAATATTTGTCGCTCTGCACAGATCAGAATCGATCTTGCATCCCAAAACGAGAGAGGAGGATCACAGTGTCTGAGGTTGATTGCAATGTAACGACATTTCCAGTGGCGGAGCCAATGGGTTAGTAGTGGGGTGCAAGGGTTCCACCAGGTATATACATAAACAATAAAAAAAATAAAAAATTCTGAATAGATGGTCCCCTCTAAGAAAATCACCCACTTACCCCCATTTGAAAGGTGAAAGTTGCGTATTATTTTTCTTTCTCTGTTCAGTTTCAACAAAAGCACCCCTCTTCTTTCATCGTCCTTAAACCTAGCTGCTCATATGCACTGCTTCTGATGCCGTCCACAGAGATCAGATACCGGAATGAGCTCGTTTTTTCGGGCTCTCTCTAAATCTGAAGTCTAAAAACAACCACAAAGCTAGGTATGCTATTTATTTTTGACATTTACTTTGTTAAAAACAAGAAAAATCCGAGTAATCGTAACGGATGTTTTCGAATCGATTTTGGGGTAATCTTTATCGGACCATTTTGGCTTGGTCATTTGACAAAATTTATGATAAGAATTCAATCTAAACTCAGGCATTCAATCAGGTTCCTTTTTCCATGATAAAATTGACTTGATTGTTTAAGAAATCCCCATTTGGATATGTAATATCTTTTAAGAAATTCCTAAAGTGATCAGCTGAAGATTGATGAATCTGATTAGATTCAGCTCTGAGCTTCAAGAGCATTGAATTGTGGGATTTGACTTTTGTGTTTGCTTGGGTCCTTCTTTGTCTTGTTGCCGCCATTTCAATTTAATTGAAGTGTTTATCTCTTTACAGAAAAGTAGTGATCCATTGTCGATGTTTTCGTTTTTTATTAGGCTGACCTTGTTTTTGCATAGTTTAAGAGGTATTGTTAT